CTGACGGTTCTCACTCACGTTTTATATAAGGCAAAGTGAGTTTGGACTTCCCTGGTAAATCACTCACTGTGTTCTCACTACCGATAACTGGATTCTCAGTGTGACCTTTCCCTACCATTTAATCCCATGCTCCCCAGGAAATGTCTGATGAATTATACCACTCAAAAGCAAAATGCTGCTACATATATATGAATATCTGCATTCATTTGTCAAAATGACCAGTCACCTTGCCATGGATACTGACAGTTACCTGACATAGTTTTGCTGTCTTCTCGTAGAAAATTAGAATATTCTAAATACAAAATATTATTATTTAATTTTTTATTATACTCTAATTAAAAACACATCAGTAGTTTAGTGTAACTAAACCTGGTCGCAGAAACCCAAGTCAAGATCCTAAATACAACCTCAGCACCTCATACCCATTGTTTTCAATTAATTAATAAGTATTTGTTTCTAAGGTCATGCTGTGCGATTCATGGTTTTTATGCAATTAGTTCTTAAGTGTACTCCAGACACCCAAATTCATTGTACTTTTCCTGCACAAAAAGTGATTTCCGAGCCATTGCTCTTTTGTTCCTCCCCCCCCACCATGGTCTGTAGAAATCTACTGAACATTCTGCCCTGCAAATCATCTTTAAGTGTTTAATGTTAGTTCTTCTAAGTTATTGTTAGGTAAATGTTGTTCTTGTGGCTTTGTAAGGCAAAGCCACATCATTTAAGTGTCTAAGTCTAAGGTGCTGTCCTGGTGGTAGATGTAAGAACATCTCATGCCTCAGACGTAAGAAAATTGAAACATCTGACTTTGGCGATCCGTTGTGAGGAACTCTGTTTCCTAAATACACAGGGTGGTAGAAAGAGACAGAGAGAGAGAGAGAGAGAGAGAGAGAGAGAGAGAGAGAGAGAGAGAGGGAGAGAGAGAGAGAGTTTTAATGTCTAGAAGCCGTCTATCAGGAAAATAACTCAGTCTTCTCTTCCACACTCAGGGAAAATGTCTCTTCTATGGAGACCTGGCTCTCTCTATTCCACACTGGCTTCATTATCTCCTCCAATGTTGCAGGTGACTGGAGCTGTACAACTCTGTTTTCATAGTGCATATTTAAACTATCTTTATGTGACTGACCCTTGAGGGAAACCGTGACTTCTTTGTGGGATGATAACCTCGGGTGTTTGTTTCTGTGTGTCTGTGTCTGGGCTGGCGTGTGCCACAGTGTACATGTGGAAGTCAGGGGCCATTTGCTTCTCTCCTTTGACCATGTGGATTCCAAGTATCAAGTTCTCTTGATCATTTATATGGGTGTTGATCCAGCTGAAAAGTGCATAATTCCAGGATGATGTCCCATGGCCACTGCCCATCTCTTATCCTATGGAATGCGTACAAAAGGTATGATTGCCGTGGTACAGTACAGATGGCGTGTTACACTATGACCTGACCTAATCAATAGGTCCTTTAAAAGCAAAATATGTCCCCCAGCTGACCTCAGAGAAAAAGTTAGAGAGAGAGATACATTTCTACTGACCTTGAAGAAGCTGGAAACTGCCTGCTGTGGGAGCCCAAGGCAAGGAGCTGAGGGCGGCATTCGGGAGCCGAGAGTCATCCCTCGCCTGGAAGGAAACAGGGGCCCAATCATCCACCTCAAGAAGCTGTATTCTGCCTAACCCTGAATTATTTTGGAAGCAACTCTCTCAGTACCTTCACGTGGGAAATCGATCAAACCGAGACCTTGGTGCTAGCATTTCGGGACGCTAAGGAGAAGGACCACAGACTTATCCCCGTAGGACTATGAAGCCGAAAGTGTTTTTTAAGAACCCGTTACCCTGATGGTCACTTGTTCTATTACAATAGAAAACTATGTACTAGCTTAGTGCCATGTGTGCAATAAAACATGAGTAGGTTAATTGATGGTTCATTTGAATTAGCAAATGAGATTATGGAAGAAAAGAAGGAAAGAAGGAAGGAAGGAAGGAAGGAAGGGAGGGAGGGAGGGAGGGAGGGAGGGAGGGAGGGAGGGAGGGGGGAGGAGCACAGAGGGAAGGAGGAAGGGAAGGAAAAGTAAGGGGAGACAGGGCAGAGCAGAGAGGGAAAAGGAAAGAAGAAATACATCGCCCGGGAGAGCAGGTGTTCCCCTGATTGATGGACCTTTCCCAGCCGAAGGAGCAAGGCAGACGTATTACGCTGGCTTCAATTAGTTTCTTTCCCATCATGTTTCCTGACTCCCATCCCATCCCTCATCCCTAATCTTTTGGTGACCCTTCTGTTGTTTCTACCCTGACTTCAGCTTGTCCCGGGGAAAAGAAAACCACAGCCCTAACAACTGTCAGCTGGCATTCTCCCACTGAATATAAATAACATTACACTATATTGGCATCATCTGGGAACTCTCCGCAATTACAAACAAGGCAGAAACAAGACCACTTCACAAGCACCATCACAAACATAGCGGAAGCGCAGAGACCAAAGCAAAGGCACCATGGAATTATGAAGTATGTGGCCTAGTCCACTTCCGTATCTGTTCCCCATTCTTCACGAACCTCAGGTTTGTTTATTTATTTTATTTTTATTTATTTTTGGTTTTTTGAGACAGGGTTTCTCTGTGTTGTTTTGGAGGCTGTCCTGTAACTCGCTCTGTAGACCAGGCTGGCCTCAAACTCACAGATATCTGCCCACCCCTGCCTCCCGAGTGCTGGGACCTCAGGTTTATTTCTATATCCATGAAGATATTCGGCTATGTAGGGGATGCCAATCCAAACCACTGCTTGTTTGAGCTCTTCCACCAATAACTTGCCACCTTCAAATCTTATCATATGACCTTCCTAACTTCCTCTTCTCAAGATGATCCTTCTTGAGGGCAGCTAGAAACAAATTGCTCTTTGTCTTAGTGTGCACTCCTGGCCGTTCCTGCCTTGGCCGGCTTCTGCACGAGTGTGGGGATCTATGTTCCTCTTACAAACAATGCCGTGAATGAACAACCTCATTCTTGGCACGAGCCAGTCAAAACATCTGACTCAAAGAGTTTTGCATCGCCGGGCGGTGGTGGCACACACCTTTAATCCCAGCACTCGGGAGGCAGAGGCAGGCGGATTCCTGTGAGTTCAAGGCCAGCCTGGTCTACAAGAGCTAGTTCCAGGACAGACTCCAAAGCCACAGAGAAACCCTGTCTCAAAGAGTTTTGCATCAAATAAATAGTCAAGCGCCCTCATCTCCAATGAGAGCACTTGAGACTTGTCTAGAGCTGGTTTTCTCTGTCTGCTCAAAGGGGTGACTTGATATCAAGTCAGAGTACTACTGATCTGATCATAAATCACTGTATGATTTCTGCTTCTCTTATTCCTCTCTCTACCCAACCCCTCCTCCCCATTTCTGCTCCCTAACGTCCAAAGGCACAAATCTTGTTTGGACTCTGTCTTGCCCATGTTCAGCTATTTTGAGAAGGGCAGAGGCAGAATTTCCTTGAGTAAACAAATGTCAGACGACATGAAGTACGTAAACTTGGGTTGAGGCCAAGAACTGGAGTGTAATGGCTGTTGGTTTTATTTAAAATGAAAACTTAATGTCACCTGTGGGTTATGCTAAGAATAAAGGCGTGATAGAATCCAACAAGTAAGTGTGGTTAGTAGGATACATGGTTGAGGTAGACTTGGATTTGATTGACATTTCAAGGAAGAAGCTCTAGGGACTGGGACAAAGGGTCTTTGAATGTTGCTTGCTCTAAACGTGAAATCCTCACCTTTTGATAAACAATGCCCTTTGGAGTAAGGACAACCGCTGTCCTCCATGCCACACCCCAGGTTTGTTAAATGACAATCTGGGGCACAGGAAACCATGTGACAGGGGTCGTATCACTATCTAAGCAATTCCAGGCTTCTCCTTCCCGTCCCACTGCTGGCAGGCCGGCTCTTCTTTTGTGTGAAAAGTCCAGGCACCTGCAGGCAGATGTTGGTATGGGAGCCAAGCTGAGGCAATTCCTCCAAGGGTCAGTGTGATAACTTTGTTCGTGACGGACAATAGCACTTTGTTCATGGCGGATAATAGCACTATGTTCTGGAATGTCAGCTCTCAATAGGAAGAGATGGTTGTGTCTCTCAGAATTGGATATGTATTTCTATTTCCCCATGCCTCCTCCATGCTTTAAAAAAAAACACTTTCTAATCATATATTTAAATTAAAAACAAGCTTGCTTCCCATGTCAGTCCCAGCTCCCTCTCCCTCCCCTCCATGCCCATTTCCCCCCACCAGACCCTCTGCCCCCCACCCAATCCCCACTCCACTCCTCAAGGAGGGTGAGGCCCTCCATGGGGGATCTCTGGAGTCTGTCATTTCATCCAGGGCAGGGCCTAGACCTTCCCCCAAGAGTCCAGGGTGAGAGTGCATCCCTCATTGTTGGATGGGAGCCCAAAGTCCATTTGTACATCAGGGATAAATACTGATCTACTACCCAAAGCCCCATAGATTGCCTAGGCCTCCTCACTGACACCCACATTCAGGGGTCTGGATCACCCCCATGCTGGCCTCTCAGCCATCAGTCTGGGATCCAAGAGCTCCTCCTGTTCAGGTCAGCTGTTTCTCTGGGTTTCACCAGCCCAGTTTTGACCCCTTTGCTCATCACTCCTCCCTGTCTGTCACTGGTTTCCAGGGGTTCAGTTCAGTGGTTAGCTGTCGGTGTCTGCCTCTGCTTCCGTCTGTCACTGGATGAAGGTTCTAGGATGGTGTGTAAGATAGTCATCAAAATCATTATCACCTCCCCGATTTTTTTAAGAGATACAACCGATGTATGTACGTCATTGTGAATACTCCCAGTCAGAGTCCCCGCTTTTCCTTTCTTTGGGTTTGACTTGGTACCTAGTTTACACTGCTGGCCCTTAACAGAGGCCTCTCGCACAGCCGAATGCATCCTGGTTTTTAAAGGGTCGGTTCTCATTGTCCCAGACACTCCTTCACCCAGGACTGTGCGGTCCCATGATGATTTGAGCTCCCCTTTCACTCCTACCAGGGGCTCTCAAAGCTTCAAACTCGCCCCTTCCTGCTCCCACCAAGGCCTGCCTGTCAGCGCTACCGCCCAGGCCTCCCTACCTCCAGCACTAAGAACGATAACTGTTCCAGCTAAAATCCCTAAAGCAATGCGCGCAGAGGAAGCCTGGTTGCGTGACGCCACACCGCGGTGTCGTAGCATCAATACCCTCGTGCTGTGTCCACAAGGATCTTCCTCTGCTCCTGGATCACGCCAACTTCCTTCCTGGAACGGCATATTCCTTATAAAGGACAATGAAATAGCACCCCCGTGTGGTCTGGGGTCAGGCTGACTGCAGCTCCCTGCAAGAGGCAGCCGGTTTCCCAACACTCAGGTTTTCACCTTGAAAACGTCATGCTAATGCTTTACCTCATTCCCACAAAATATCTGCGCGATATCCCCGCTTGCTTTAAGATGGTTTCTTCCTACACTTGGTATTAAAAAGAAAAAAATGATACTGCAGGATTGTCTTTATCTCCTGGTTTTTCATGATCCTGAATGCTCTGCCTCCACTCTGTTACAAGACAGTCTCACGAGAGAGCTTACGAAGTCACACTGTGTGCTCGTTTTCAGTGCTAATCGTTCCACGTTCTATAGCATGCACGTAGAGTTTCTGAAATCTAGCACCCAGCTGAAGACACAGAATGTCACCCGCACCTTTGGAACTCCCTGCCAGCCCCCCCTGAACACCCCTTCCGGCCCAGAGTGAGTTGTTCGGAAGCTCGCATCTGTCTTTTCGCTCTCTGGCTTGCTTTTGGGTGCTGGGGGCTGAAGGCCGGCGTTGACCTCCATCATACAGTCAGACTCCTTTTCTTTCTTTCCTTCTCAGTTTCCTCTGCAGATGTGCAGGACTGGACACGGCTTCCCACAGGCTAAGCCGGTGCTACATCCCTGAGCGGTCCCTAGCCCAGCTTTTAAAAGTATCTCTGCTTTCTTTGTAGTTTAAAAACGATACATGTGACTTCCGGCAGCGCATTGTTTGGTTTAATCTTCTTTCTAAATTTGTATGAGCAGCCTCAGTGGAGGTTCTTCTAAAGGCTTCCCTGAACTCTGCCTTTCACTAAATCATGTGGGCATTTGTAGATATTGTTCATTTGTTTTCTTTGGAGTCTTATTATGTCTTTCACACAGTGTCTCAAATATGAATTTATTTATCTTTTTTTTTCTTCACAGAGGACAAAAACATTAGGAGCTATTCTTTCTGAAGTAGAGGGCTGTTACATACATTTCCTAGTTCTCAAATACTTAGCATGGGACAATTCTTTGAGAAAAAGATAGCAACATTAACCCTGTCCTGTGCACATTCTTTAAAGTCACCTTTTTTAGTTTTTCATTTCCACACAGTTTCATTTTGTGAACACATCCCAAATGACTGAGAACCTGTAATAAATTACTGAAGTGAAGACTTGCAGTCCCTGGAGGTGTTCGGAGTTTCCCACGTGGCTGTTGAAATGTGCAATTGCCAACTCTAGTTTCCAGTGTTGTACTATGGGAGCAAATTTCTACCTACAAAGGAGCTTTTTAAACAGAACCATGTATTATAATAAGAGAAGATACAAGAGAAATAAAACAAGCAAACAACAAAAAGTGCTGCATTTGGTGAGTGAGATGTGCATTGTTCCATGGATACTGTGTGAGCATCCTCCAGAGGTAAGACAGACTTTGACTAGGCTCTAGGTAGGATGCACAGTGAGGAGGACAGGATCCCCACCCAGGAAGAGCCTGCACACTTCCTGTATAGAAAGTTGACTTCCGGAAAAGGCCTATCATTTTCCCTCATAAGTTCTCTGGAATTATCTACATGAGGCCCACACAAGATTGGGCCCATTAACACTCCGGGTTGCAGAATGGGTTGGAGCCTATGAGGCCTGCCTGTCCCCAAGAAGATGTGAGCAGTTAACATTTGCTGGGCAGGGAGGGAATTTTCCTCAGTGGTGTAGCTGCCCACAAGTTGTCCAAGCTCCTGTAACTGCCAGTGACACTCGGTTCCTTTGTCTCTGTCAGTGCCCTAGCGTGGCGAAGTGCGTGGCTTCTGAATGCCTCCGCGGGAAAAGCTCGCACTGGTGGGCTGTAAGACAACGCAGTAGGGAGAATGGCAAATTGCAGAAGTAGGAACTGGAAAGAGAATAACTTCAACCCTGACAGTCAGAGGAGGCTTGAAGAGAAGGGAAGCGGCCGGGCTCTGGAAGAGTAAGGGGGCTCTATCCGTCAAGCTGAATTGAAGTGGTGGCGCTCTTAGGGCAGGGGCTCAGAGTTAGGAAGGGGAAGACCAAGCGCTCTGGAAGCGGTGCATCCTCTCATTGGCTGCAACACATAACTTGGGGGGGGGGTGGTAGAAGGGTGACGTCGTAAGATAATTCCCAAACTGCCTGTAGTGTGTTTCAGTGTGCCAGCATTTCTTCCAGAAGGGACCCAGCCACGCGCGTTGATAACAACAAATAAAATGCAGGCAGGTACATGCATTATCTGCGCTCGTGTGCATGTGTGCACGCAACCACACGCATGCACGCGCACATGCATACACACCCACTGTCCTGCTGTCCAACAGTAGCGTCCTGCGCTGTCTACCAGTATTTCTTGGAAATGCTTACGATATGACCGTGCCGTTTCTCGGGGAGTCCCCGAGTATCGGTCGGCTCCTGACATTTTCAGCGCCCGTCCTCCCTGGGCCTGCTGCCCATCACCCTGGCCTGTGCACTGCTGGCCACTGCCTCTCTACCCTCTCATCCTCTTTCAGGGGTTTTCTTCCAAGTGTCTCCCCTCTGCGACATCAAGACCCTGCCTGGCTCTCAGCGTCTCCGCTTTGCTCCCTACTGAGCTGCAAAGGAACCTGGTGCCTTCAGCCAACATGAGCAAGCAGGGAAGAGGGAGGGGGACTGAACCAGTCGTAACCGGAGCACTGGGAAGCTGTAAAGAAACTCAAGCCCTCCAACATACTGATTCAGACTCTCTTACGTTGCTATCTTCTGCCGTTATCTGACTTTAGATTCCCCCATCGGCCACCTCTACTGTCCTTCTAGGTTTGTTCACTCGTTTTTTTTTTTTTTTAAGATTGCGTTCATTTCACTTTATGTGCCTGTGTGTGTCCTGTGTGTCTTGTGAGCGCAGACTCCCATGGAGGCCAGAAGGGGGCGCCAGACACCCCGGAACTGGAGTTGTGAGCCCGTAATGCAAGTGCTGGGGGTTGAACACAGGTTCCTGGGCAAGAGCAGCAAATGGTTTTAAGTGCTAAGCCAGCCGTGTCTCCAGGCCCCATTCCATATTGTTACGCCATGACCTTACCTCTCCGTTTCCAGTAGCGTCTGCTGTCCATTAATTTCCGCCACAAGCCTCGCTTCTTGTTGATTTTTCCCTTGGGTAAAGTAGTCAGGCGGACTATGCTTTGAACATGCATGGCTCAGCCTGCGCAATTGAAAGCATAGAACAAGTCAAACAGCTGTCAGCAACTCTACAAATTCTGCCTCTTGGACTGAGGCCACGGGAGGCACCTGCAGATAAATGTTACTGTGTCTTTTCCCGCCCCCCTTTGCACATCCCTAGTAAGCAAAGAGACATTGTGGCCATCGATTGCTACAAAGTCTGCTAATAACCAACCGTAACAGGTGGGTACAAGCGGAAGATGATGTTTTAGCGCAACCTGCGCGCTGCCAGGAATCATCCCCTAGAGTCTCTCTACCCTAATCGTTTACTTTTACGAACACAAGAGACAAGAAAAGTCGGTGCAGAACTAACATAAAACCCAGGGAGCAGAAAGTAATAGGAAGCTACACCACTTAAAACCTCCCGGATCTCTGGAGAAAACCACTTTCTAAACAATTACAGTATGTTTTGTTAACATCATCTCCTCCATAGCCATGAAACAGATTTTTTTTACTAATAAGCAAAAGAGAAACCAAAAATAGTAAAAAAAAAAAATAAAAAATAAAAAGGAGCAAGACTTACATTATATGTGTGGATTAGATCGATCGTAGTCAATTTTTTTCTCTCCATAATATCATCACTCACTAAAGAAGCAATGCAGCTATTTGGAAATAAGTAATTTATAAACTCTGGAGTTTTCTGTAATAACACATTTTAGGCAGCTTCCGTAGAAGTCTTATCAGTGCCGCTTGTCACCGTTGCTTCCAGTTTTGTTTTGTTAGAAAGAACGTTTTGTTGAGTACACTTACTGGGAGCAATGGCTGTGAAGTAGCTACAGCACTGTGTGCATCTCAGCACTGTTTGTAAACGTTTCTCAGCAGCCGCCAGTCCCGAAACGCCGCCATTCACTGGCACAACTGACTTACGAAGAGTATCCAAGATGTCTTGGAGTTTGGGGGATCACCAGTTAACAAATTCATTTTAGGGGACGAGAAGTGGGGGAGAGAGAGAGAGAGAGAGAGAGAGAGAGAGAGAGAGAGAGAGAGAGAGAGAGAGAGAGAGAGAGAGAGAGAGAGAGAGAGAGAGAGAATATGAGTGTGTGTTTACATTCCCTGACGTAAGAAAAGTGGTTTTAGCTGATTGGTCAGATCTGGAGAAAAAAAAATTAATAGGATCTTAATAGAAACTGTCGAGCTCCTTATCACTTAATCCATGCAGAAATATTCTCTAAGAAAGGGGCTGGGTCGCGTGCTATTTGGACATACTTACAGTATCTACAGGGTAAATATATGCGCCAATGGGAGGTAACCTCATTCAAACCACCACGAGGAATAAAAACAATCTAAAAGAGACCATGAGCGTGGGCGGGCTTGGCAGGAAGAGGGAAGAATGGGAAGGGTGTGGTGGAAGTGCTCGCATGTGTAGTTTCAAAATAAAAAAAATCTATTTAAAATGTTTTTAATTCTAAAAAATACAAAGGGACAACGGTGTGTTGGCTTCCTTTGTAAGACTTAGTGAAAAGGAGTGAAGGGATAAACACCTTTGCTCTGTTAGAGGAAGACGGTCCTGCCCGTGTCAGATGGCAGTGTGGGCGTTAGTAGACTCAACCCTGTGCCCCTTTGATCTTCTGGCCCGCCTCTGTTGGTGTGCTCCAAATCTTTGCATTTCCCTGGTGAAGAGTGAAAGCCCCGCCCGGGGGGCTAATTTGCATAATGTCCCGAGATGCTGGGAGACACAGGGGCACCCTGTGTGCCCACGCTCTTCTGCTTCCTGGTTGGCTGGTTTGGTGTAGGAACAAAGGAGAACAGTGGGATGTCTTCTCCTCACTCAGGAAGCAAGCCTGGTGTTCGTACTCGACTCCAGCCAGCATCATCAGGGACTGTGACGATGCTGGGAGTTTCTTTTCTTTTTTAATTTATTTTACGTGTATGAGTGTTCTGTCCGCATGAAGTCTGCGCGCCGTAGGTGGGCCTGGTACCCAGGGGTGTCAAGAGAGGGTGTTGAACCGTCCGAGCCTGCAGTTGCAGACCACCACGTGGGTTCTGGAAATCTGACCCAGGCCCTCTGGAAGAGCAACCAATGATCTTAGCCGCTGACCCATCTCTCCAGCCCTAACACCTTTTCGTTGGACCCTTGGTTGATGCAACAGGACTGATGGCAAAGGCATACCGGCTTGGTAAAGATTCTATGGAGCCAGACTGAGAAATTGGAGATAAATGCTGTGAAGCACAGTTCATGCATTCTTCTGAGCAATATCTTTTTAAAAGTCAAAGTCTTCAGCAGTGCCCTCTTGGATGCCTTTCAGTTTTGTTTTCCTCATAGATACAATGAATACTTCCAAGGTTATTAAATACAATAAGGCAGTGGGTCCAAGATCTAACACTAATGCACTAACCGACTTACTGGAGCCCATTCTATATGGAGAGATACCTTACACAGCCTAGACACAGGGGTGTGGGCAGTGAAGAGGGGCCTTGGTCCTGCCTCATCAAGATGATGGGACAGACTTAGTAGACTTCCTACAGGAGGCCTTAACCTCTTCACTGAGCAGACAGGAAATGGGCGGAGGGAGTGGGGGTAGCAGGAGGAGAGGAGGGAAGGGGAACTGGGATTGGAATGTAAAATATAAATTAATTCTTAAAAGAAAATTTAAAAAAAGACATAGTCTCTGTGTTTTGGACTATTCTGTAAGGATTGGAAGAATTGGATTCATATTAAAACAAACTTGTTTAGAAATAAATCCTTCTTTGGCCCAACATATGCTATTCAGGGTAGATTTTGACGACATTAGCAGAGAACTTGTTTGATCTTCAGCCTTAAATATTCACACATAATCCTGTTTGTCCTATCTATTTGCATTTCAAATAATTAATTTGCATAACTCATAATAAACTGGATGTTTTTTATTAATTTTTAATTGATTTTAATTGTGGTAGAATGTATGTAATGTAAAATTGGTTTGGCCTTGAGTAAGTCACTTGACCTCTTCTGCTTCTAGGAGCTCATTAATAGAATTCCAAACTGATGACTAGGGTCTAAATTTTCACTCAGAGGTGTGGATTAATCAGGAATTCAGCTGAACTTTCAATTCTATAGGGTTTTTTTTTTTGCTTGTTTGTTTTGTTTTTTGTTTTTCAAGACAGGGTTTCTCTGTATTGTTTTGGAGGCTGTCCTGGAGCTCTCTCTGTAGACCAGGCTGGTCTCGAAATCACAGAGATCTGCCTGCCTCTGCCTCCCGAGTGCTGGGATTAAAGGCATGCGCTACCAACTCCCAGCTCTCAGTTCTATAGGTTTTTGAGACCTCATCTTTAGAGGCTAAGAAAGCTCTCTCTCAAAACACTCGCCTTGGGATATTGCGCAGCTGTCTTAAGACAGCAGGCGTGTCCAGATGCAGAAAACGCTCACACTGCTTCAGACGTGGCCACACCACAGCGAGCAGCCTCGCATGTCCATCGTGTTTCATCGGTGCTTGTTGCAACAGCTGCGCTCCTGGCTCCGGCTTATTCTGCTGCGTGGACTGTGGAGAACACAGGGCTGATTCACCTCGCCTTCCAGGGAAATAAGGTGAGCGTGAGGTCTGGCTATCGGTCCTCATAAAGATCAGGGAACAAGGCACAACAGACACATAGACACTGCATTATTTTCAAGGGAGACTTTAGCCAAGTCGTGTGTGTGTGTGTGTGTGTGTGTGTGTGTGTGTGTGTGTGTGTGTGTGTGTGTCTGTTTCATCTACAGAAGCCATCCTTGACTCTGATGGGTAGGCATCGGAACAGAAGATGCCTGCAGGGCGTGTTCCCTGGGAAACCCCGTAGTGAAGAATCCGTCCTTGATTCTAGCTGCTTGCTGGGCGTATCCTTAATGACCCTGCTGCAACATTTTCATCTAAGCCATCTACGCCCCCATTGCTCTTCCCTGGTGGTCCCTGGCTTCCAGCCATGTTCCTTTTCCTGTTTGTAAGGACACCATCTGTGTTACATACAAGATAAGGGCCAAAACCAGCAGCCTGGTCTACACTTGGTAACGCCTGGAAAGGCTCTACTTGCAAATACCCTTCAAAAGGTCTTTCAAAGGGAATGCAATTTTTCTCATCACGGAGAGTGACCCAGAAGGATGTGTCTTGCAAAGGCACTGATGACTGGCTGGGGTAGCTGCTACCTCATAGAAAACAGCCTGCGGAGTACTTCTGAGGTTTAGGTTTGCCAGCTAGACACGATCTAAAATCATCTGGGGACAGAGTCTCAGGGAAGGGCTGCCTGGACCCGGCTGGGCTGCGGGCACGTCTGTGAGTGGTTTTAATTGGGCTAGGAGGTGGAAAGACTCACACTGAATGGGGACGCATTGTTTCCTGGGCGGGGCCCTCAACTATGAACGGAAGAAACCAGGAGCTGAGCAGCAATCGCGCATTCGTTCCCCTTGTCTCTTGACTGTGCATGCGCCGGGGCTATCTATCTGCTTCCGGTTCCTGTCCTGGCTTCCTCACAGTGATGGACTGCAGCCAGCAATTGTGAGCCCCAACCAGCCCCTTCCTCCCTAGGTTGTTCATGGGGTCCCGTGCATGGGACCCCAGTTTACTACACCAAGAAAACTTTGCAAGCCGGGCGGTGGTGGCGCACGCCTTTAATCCCAGCACTGGGGAGGCAGAGGCAGGCGGATCTCTGTGAGTTCGAGGCCAGCCTGATCTACAGAGCACGTTACAGGACAGCCTCCAAAACAATATAGAGAAACCACGTCTCGGAAAAAAAAAAAAAGAAAACTCTGCAATACATAGCAAAATTACAAAACGTAGTGATTTGTCCAATGACTTGAAGATGCAAATTGTGAAAGTTATACATACTACAAATCCAGTTTGCCAGAGGTAAACATTATGAGATAAATATGACACACAATTCAGTGGTTCATAACTATATGCACGTTAGTGTTGCTTAGGGAATCATAACTTTTAATTACCTGAATTATACACATTTAAATTTGCATATATATTATTCTATTAGTTCAGCTTTAAAGACTACGTATGTAGAGTGCATATACATATACATATATATTTATGAGAAACATTTTAATGTGTATGTATCTAATTATAATTGAACACAAGGGATCCCCATAATGATTTAATAAAAAGAAGAAAAAAATCAAAAGCCCAAAGCAATAAATCCATTTTAATTATGTGTGCTATCTTGTGGCTACAGCTTTTATATACATATTCAGTCATGTGTGTCTTTTATATTTTGTGTCAATTTTAAAACTGCTTCTTTGATGTTTTATAATTATGTCTACATACAAATCACCACAGTTGAAAATTTTACGTACTCATATTGATGCAGAGGATATAAGATGCTCATTTGCACCATTGAAAGTGAATTTTAGATATTTGTCACAGTTGTGTTCATTGTGAATGGTCTCGTGGACCTGGTGATTAAATGCCTGTAACTTAAATACTCTTATTTAAAATCGTAAAAATGATATGTTGTCACACAGACCCAATATTTTTGAGGAGAAAGTATTTAACTCACGAAGGACTCTTTCGCCTAGCAATTTGGAATGCTATAATCAGAGCGTGGTTCATTGTATTTCTCGAAGCATAAATCAAATACTGATTGCCTCGTAATGTTCAGTTTTAGCTACAAGTAAAATGGGGGTTTTTTGTCTTAGTGCATTTGAAATGCATGAGAATTTGTTTCTAATAGAAGTGTAAGGCTCAATCCTAATTTAGTTAAAGTTGAGTATAGTATTAAAACTTAGTCAGTGCATCCTTCCTAAGCTCTCTGGAAATTCTGCACCCACAAATTGCGGTGATGGGTCAAACAGTAGCAAACAGGGGGGTTTTGCTGCCTCCTTTTGCTTAAGTCTGGTGTAGGCTCCCTTTATCTGTGGCACAAGAGAGCCACCTACAGAAAGTTAGGAAAAGGACTCTCCTACGGCAAGATACAAAGGCTGTAAGGGGATGTCTGTGGAGAAAGAATGCTCGTTGGTGGTAGTTTGAACACTGCACA